CCCTTAGATACACGTATTCCCAGCAGAAATGCAGATTGAGGTTTGCAAAGGACATGTACAAGAATGTGTCTAGCAGCTTGGTTCGTATCTGTGGAAGCTGAACACATTCGTCTTTTGTGGTCTGGTAATTCCACTCCTGTGAGTACATACCCGGTAGGAATGCAAACTTAAATATACAAAAATGCCCAAGAATGTTCCCAGCAGCTTGATTTATAAGAGTTTACAACTGAAATAACTTATACGTCTATCCACAGTAGAATGTATAAATAACTGTGGGATGTTACATACAATTAAATACTATAGAGCAATAAAAAACCACCAGCTACCGTGGCACAGAGCAGCACAGATGACTCTCATGAATGTGATGTTGTGCAAAGAAGCCAGATTCAAAAGAGCACAGAGTGTGATTCCATTGACCTGAAGTTTCAACAGGCAAAGCTCATGTTCAGCCTGGAATTTAGAATGATGGTGACTGAGAGGATGGGTAGGGGCTTGTCGGTGACGAATCTGTGTCTGGGTGGGTGTGTTCGTTTTGTAAAAATTCATAAGGTTGTGGGGGCTCTTCCCCCTTCCCTGTTTTCACCCCAGGTTAGTCACCAGGTGTTTCTTCTGTAGCAAGAGTGTAAGCAGTTCTAGTGCAGGCGAGGCTTGTCTTAAACTCTGTTTTATGGGACTTGCGTCTGTTCTGAGCTGGCCTTGCTTCCTGGAAATCCTGGGCCAGGCTGTGTGTTCAGGCAGCATCGAGTGTGTCCTCATCGGTGCATTCTTTGGAATGCACAATATTTCAATAAAAAGTTTATAAAGTGATATTTCTAATAGCTGTTGTTTGTTTGCATAATACTTTAAACGTATTCCAGGGGCTTTAAAACATTTTATCTTTGCTGATAGTCTCAGAAAACTTTGCAGGAGGCTGCAGGCATTTAAGTGATGCTTGCCTTCCCTGGTAGAGGTGGGGCCTGGGCCAGAGCTTGCACCCTGCCCCTCCCAACACTGTCCCAGGACGACTCAGAGGTTAGCTTTTCATGACCGAAGCGTTTGAAACCTGTGACCTGAGCTCTGTGTGTACAGGACTTTGTCATTTGTAGTTAGCTTTAGCTTGACAGGTTTGGATGCTTGTTCAGGGAACAGGCCTGGAATTCTGGAGTGCCCAATGCTTTCGCCCTGGTGCAAGGCCCTCCCATGCCCACCCTGCTGCTCCTCATGAGTCACTGTGTGGTCCCCCTGAGGATATGCGGAGCACCTGTGGCATCTCCCTGACCGTGTCGTGTTTCTCTTTTCCCTCACACTTCACTAAAGGTCCTCCCCTCCCTGCCCTGGACAAGGCCTCCTGCGAGTCGGCCAGAATATTCCATGGTCATGGCTGCAGTGATTGGCTCAGGAGGGGTCATGTGACCAAAGTGGATCCTGTTAGAGTGGACTAGACTCTGAGGATGCTGGACAGGGCTCTGCATTTCTGCTCAGGTGGGCAGGACAGCAGGTAGGCTTGTCACTGCTGGCACTTGAGGGCTGGTGCTGATGTCCAGCAGGCAGGTCAGAGAGAGGGACGAGCAGGTCCTGGATAACATGGTGGAGCACTCGGACACAGCTTCTTGAGCACCAGCCTGTCCCTCGGGTTTGTGGCTGTGAGCCAGTGTGTGCCTGGTGTGTGCCCAGTGTGAGCCATTGTGAGCCTGGTGTGTGCTCAGTGTGTGCCCACTGTGAGCCAGTGTGTGCCCACTGTGAGCCAGTGTGTGCCCAATGTGTGCCTGGTGTAAACCAGAGTATGCTCAGTGTGTGCCCGGTGTGAGCCATTGTGTGCCCAGTGTGAGTTGATGTGTGCCCAGTATGTGCCCAGTGTGAGTTGATGTGTCTAGTGTGTGCCCAGTGTGAGTCGGTGTGTGCCCAGAGTGAGTCACTGTGTGCCCAATATGTGCCCAGTGTGAGCTGATGTGTGCCCAGTGTGTGCCCAGTGAGTCAGTGTGTGCCCAGTGTGAGTCAGTGTGTGCCCAGTGTCAGTGTGTGACCAGTGTGTGCCCAGTGGTCGACCTGAGCCCAGTATGTGCCCAGTGTGAGTCTTGTGCGCCCAGTATGTGCCCAGTGTGTGCTCAGTGTGTATCCAGTGTGTGCCCGGTGTGAACGAGTGAGTACCCAGTGTTCAAACTGGCCCTGATCTGTCACTGAAAACATTCTCATTGAGACAAAGACAAGAATTTGGTTCTGATTTGCTTGAAATCACAGTGATGAATTTGAGCTTGTTTTCCTCAGCCCAAGCTCTTTGCATTTGCCATGTTCTGGGGTCTTGGGTGGTCCTCATTAGCCAGCTCCCCCAGGGCGACTTCACCCCTTCGGTCTGATTGGAGTCAAACATGTCTGCTCTGGTGCCACGGCCAGACACAGCCAGGGTCAGATGGCCACTGCCTGGCGGTCTCCGTGCAGGGACCATTCTGAGAGGGTGGGGGCTCCTCCCCGCTTCTCCTGCTTTCACTCCAGGGCAGTCACCAGGTGTTTCTTTCATAGCGGGAGTGTGAGCTGGGTTCCATGCTCTCATGGTAGCTTCGTCTGTGCTGAGCTGGCCTTGTTTCCTGGAAATCCCAGGGCAGGCTCCAGCTCCCTGCAGAGACACAGAATCGGCCCCACAAGGGGCTGAGTGGGCCTGAGGGCTTCATTGATCCCGCAGCCCTGCCATATCTCTCGTGGTAGCGACACCACCAAACGGTTCCCTGTCCATTAGGACAAGAAGCACGCACTCCCATGCAGTGATCTTGGCTCTTGGAGTGGGAGTCCAGCAGAGCCAGGGCTGCACTGAGCCGTGTGAAGCCCCACAAACCACGGAGCACTTCTGGAAGCATGCCTGGGGCCACACACCCTGAAGCATTTCCATGAAGGTGACTGGGGTGGTTTTCACCTTCACCAGAGACCTCCACGTGTGGCACTGGCTTCTGGGTCTAAGAGGCCCCTCTGCCTGTGATGCTGGCAGGCTGCTCTCCCTCATCCCATCCCATGCTGAGCTTGCTGCATTCTTTAGCCCACTTTCAATTCAGGTGGATTCTCCTGCTCCTTGGAATATTTACAAAGCATTGTTGTTTAAGAAATCTTCTGGTCCCATGAGTGTGGCTATGCTGTGTGGTCTCCACGCCAGTTGGTTGGGTTTGGGGAATCTCACATGTCTTTGGGCTTCATATTCACCCCCTTTCACATCTTCCTTTTAAATGATCACTTTTGTTTGGAGATTTGGACTTGACATTTCAGACCCCATTAGCTCACCATCAATGGCGTATTATGGAAACCCACTCCTGCATCCAATTGAATTCAGATTGCATTTAATAAAAAAACTGTAAATTAGTGAAAAACCAGAAACTGAGTTGAGCCCATCTTCCTGAACGTTTGCCTGCTGGCGGTCTGGAGCTGAATTCTTTCCTCCTGGACGGGCTCTGCTGTGGGGATGGCTATGTGCTTGAGCAGAGGGTGGCAGGAGGTACGTGCAATCAGGCCAGGCTCTCCCAGGCCGGGAATGAGGGAGACGGCACATCACCAGCGGGTCTAAGGGTGTGTGGAAGCCGCAGCGGGGACCCAGCTTTGGGCTGACGGTCAGCGGGAAGGAGGCAGAGATGGTGGCGGAGTGGGCGGTGCAGAGAGTGCCTGGTGGCAGGACGTCCCGGAGGAGGGATGCTGAGCTCCGGGCTGTGGGAGGAGCAACTGCGAAGGGCCAGCGTCGAGAGCCTAGCAGGACCTCCTCAAGGCTTCCCTCATGCGGGAAGGAATGTGGATCTGTCGGAACGTGCTTCAGTTCCGATTGAACGTGTTCTTCCCTGGAGACGCAGGGCAGCTTCTGCTGCAGAGCAGGGTCTCGGATGCTGCCTCGCCATGCTCTTGGCTTCAGGAAAGCCCCTTGGCTGGGCAAGTGCTGGGGACGCAGGAACAGTCTGCCCTGCCCTGGCATGGGTACGGTACCTCTGAAACACGTTGGTTGGATCAGGAAGGATATTCTTAGTACAGAGCAGTTAGATGAGAATATTATATCTTAGCAAGCAAGACGGTCAGTGCTAGGAATCTGAAGCCTTGGTCTCAGGTCAGGCTTGGCCACCAACTTGCCATGTGCCCACAGGTTGATTTGGCCGGGTCAGTTAGAATCTGCAAATCCTCCCACACCCTGTTTTTCTTGCAATGAGGCTGTCCTGGCACCAGGGTGCAGTTGGGATGCCCTCGGGACGCTCTGCATGAGGGCAGCTGCTTTTATAATTTCCACTGCCATGGAAAAGCTCTGTCTTTATTGGAAAAGACCTGAAAGAAGTGAGTAAGTGACACAAAGACATAGTGACTGAATTCCCCGTAAGAATGAGGAAGGAACTCTGCCTCTGAACTGTAACTGCCCCCCTTAGATCACTGCTCGGCCCCCTTTGAGCACTGACTGAAAGTGACCTGTGAGACAGAGGCCTGGTCGGGTGACGGCGACTCTGTGACGGATACCATCTGGCTGCTAGAATTATGCTTAGCAGTGTCTTAAGAACGTAAGAAAATCCTGGTGGAATCATGTTAAAGGACAAAGGAAGCTATGAAGCATACCAGTGCTGTGATCTCAACGATGGAGACATCATAAGTAATATAATAAATAGACCAATATCAGTACCAATGCTGTGATCTCAACTACGGAGAGAAATAGACGTTGTAGCAGCCGTTTCCTCAGATTGCTGGGCCACAGATAATGTTCGTTTTTTCCTGTGCAGTTTCTGTCCAGGGGCACACGTGGTTTAAAAGAACGGCCCAGTGGCTTTCCCCGAAGGCTTTCCCGAGGGTCTCACTGCCACCCTCGTCTTCGCAGCCCCCTTGCCCGGATGCGCTGGGAGCCATGTCTGACACCGCTGTGCCTTCACCACCTCGTGTTTTCTTATTGTTAAAAGTGAATGTTTTTCCATTTCAGGATGAAACAAAGTGCTCCAGCTCCCCTGCCCTCTTGTAGGAGCGAGTTTCATTTGTGAGTTTCATTTCATTTCAAACTCCTAGTTTGGAGTTGCTCAGACTGGCTTGTTGGGTTTCATCGCTCTCTTTTAACACTTGGTGACAGGTTAAGAGAACTCCTGACATTTGGAAGCCAGGCAGAATGGAAGTCCTGGGCAGAGTCAGGTGTGAAGGCATCAGTGAGGATGGACTAGGTAGGACTCTTCCGTCTTTCTTGACAGCGCATCAGGACTTTTCAGCCTATCGTTTTGGGTTCTTAGCAGCAATGAACATGGTTGTTTTGTCTTAAGGCCTCAAGTGATGTCTACATGATGGAGGGGCCCCTCCTTTACTCACAGAAACCTGATGGTGGATGGTAGGTATACCTACAGGGTGCCTTCTTCAAAACACCTGGGCACCAGACCCTGGCAGCTGGCATGGGAGATGAGGCTGATGGTTAGCGCCCCTGGGCCCCGAGGTCTGAGGCCTCAGACCTTCTCGAGGGCACCGCACACGCCTGGCCACCGGCGCCAAGCAGCAGCATTGTGCTTGACTCTGCTCTCAGGGCTGTGCTTTGCGGCCGTCTCAGTCCCTGGTAGAAGAGCATTTCCTGACCACCGGGCATGACGCGTGCTGGCGTGTGTGTGTGTGAGACCGTTCCGCACGCACATACGGTCTGTTTGACTGTAGCTAGAGACATGTTAATAATGGAGGCAGCAGGAGGGTCAGTTCTTTAATCTTCATCTCCAGAGGTCACAGACGTTGTCCCTGTTTTTGCATGAAGCGACGTTCACTCAGCCACCCGGAGCTAGTGTGTTATAATCACAGACTTTGGGAGCAATAAACATTAACTGGCAGAGTTTCTGAAAACAATGCTTCGCTTTGCTCCTTGACACAATCCCATTACAGCTGGGGGAGTCGATATGATGCCTTGTTTCATGATTGCTTTTCTTCCACTTGGGCGGTTGCTCAATAAAGCCCAGAGAAGAACGGACCACTCGTAAACAGAACAGATGGTGCCATGTGCCTGCCCTCTTTGGCCTCTCTGCGTCCACGTGTGCACGTTACGGAGCACTTCCGTGCCCTGTGTAAGCCTGTGTTCCCCGCAGAGAAACCACTGGGCACCTGGAGGGTGGTGCAGCAGGTGCCAGAATCCGACAGGTGCCTCTCCGCTCGGGACCTTGGAGCTCTTTAGCCTCATCTAAAAAGTGAAAATAAGGTAATTACCACCTTAGAGGAGGAATTGTGAGGATAAAAGGAAATAATACCTGCAAACTACAGAGCACAGCAGAACTCCATGCAAAGCAATTTTCGTGATTCAATTCCAGTGCAGGCCATAAAGGGACTGTCATGTCCCAGTTTCTCTCTTTCCTCATCTAGAAAATGAGGGGCCAGTTGTGGCAGCTCACGCCTGTAATCCCAGCACTTTGGGAGGCCAAGGTAGGCGTAACACTACAGGTCAAGGGTTCGAGACCAGCCTGGCCAACATGGTGAAACCTCGTCTCTACTAAAAATACAAAAACTAGTAATCTCAGCTTCTCAGGAGGCTGAGGCAGGATAATCTTTTGAACCCAAGAAGTGGAGGTTGCAGTGAGCTGAGATCGTGCCATTGTACTTCAGCCTGGGTGGTAGAGTGAGACTTCGTCTCAAAAAAAAAAAAAAATGAGGGACAAGAGGGGCTAATCTCTGAGACCTCTTCCCCTCTAGGGACATTTTCATTGAGACAGTTTGGGAGTGCCCTGGATAGGACAGGCAGGGGCACTGGAAAGGAAGCTTGGGCAGGACCATTGCATGTCCTGAGGTTCACCGTTTCCCCATGAGGTCATGGGTGCTCCCAGGAAAGGTCAGGCTTGCATCACTTAGCAAGGGAAGGCTGCCATGGGTGGAGGGAAGCTCCCAAATCTACTTCCTTTTCTCCCGTGTGGCTTAAGTCTGGGCCAGCAGTAGGGGAGAGAGGGGAACATGGATCCTGGTGTCTTCCCCGTGGTTTCTCTTGGGTCTCTTGCTTGTTTCCCAAAGGAGTCGATGTATACAGTTTGTTCATGGCTCAAGGCTCTTTTCTTTGCTGTCTTAACAAGTGACAGTGTTGAAGGTAAATTTGCATTTTGTGGCGTCACCTCAGGCTCCCTTTTTCTTGTTGCTTCGGGCTGAGGAGCAGGGAAAGAACACCTGTGGTCTCTGGTTTAGTGGCCATGGTTCCTATTTGGGAAACTGGCCTGGACCCCGACTTGCCATCGTCATCCTCTGCCCACTTTGTCTCTGGAGAGCAGCAGGAGTGGGCAGTGGCCTTAAAGCCTTTCTTCGTCTCTACTGACCGTGCAGATTAACCACCAACTGCTTGTAAGCTTGAGCTCCTGTGAGCTGGCCAAGCTCGGGAAGATTATTGAGACCAGGTCCGAATGGTGGTCCCAGAAGCTGGCAGTTCCAGTCCAGGTATCACGTCAGTGCAGCTTCCGAGACCTTCAGATGGCGTTTGCCGTTTCATGTGGAGTAGAGGGCTCCTTTTCCTTCTTTTTCCTTCAATCTTCCTTTTATTTTACTTCCTTTAGACATGCAAGAGTGTGTGTGTGCATCTGAAATGAGAATCTGGCAGCGTTCAGAGTTTTCCGGCTCAATTCCACGTCCAGATTTGTAATTCAGAAAATCAGATGGTATTGGAAGCTGCCGTGGATGGGGCCTGCTGGTACTTCTCACAGTCCGACTCTCCCCAGCCAGGCTGGCCAGAGAGCCCGAGGCTTTTTCAGAGACATGGATGCTGTCTTTTGCAGTTTAAGAACCTACCTCGGATTTGCATTCTGATCTGCCTTTCCTTTTTTTTTCTCAAGTGAATGAATTGAACCACACGATCTGCATTTCTTAAAAGGTTGACTGCAATTCAGTTCCTTATAGGCCAGCTCCTTCGTAGTTTTCAATCTCTTAGGAAGATTCAGTCAGCTTGAAAAATTGATGTATTCTAGCAAAATTGCATTTTAGTGATACTTTTCAGTAGATAATTCTATGAAAAGTGGATTTAAGTGTTTCTGTGATGAGGCTTGATTATTAATGCAGAACTTGACTGCCAAGAACCAAACTACCTCCCTCATCAGTAACTTGGTCTCCAGTTCCAGCATACGTTGCTTGAGAATATTTCACAGATCTGAAAATGAAGGTGTCCCCAAGTTGTTCAGCATTAAGACAAACTTTATTTATTTTAACCCTAAACCTTAGGGCTAATAATAATTATTTATTTTCCCAAAGGCATTCATAAATAGGTTTGGTCACTACTTTTAAATGTAAAAATTTTTAATTTCAGTTCTATCTCATTTACATCAAACAGAGCACGTGGCTCCCAAAGAAGCCCAGAGCATGCTGGGGAGAAAGCTAGCAATTTACCCCACTATTCAGCCTCGTTTTTCTTTCATTTTCATGGAAACCGTAAGATTGTTTTTGTGTTTCAGATCAAACATGTTTTTGAGCAAAGAGTACATTACCCAGCTGTCCTAAAAGCAGAACTTATCACTGTTCGGATTTAATCCAAGCCATCTGCTGCGTTTCTCTTTCCATTTATTTTGAGGTGCATCACAGGAAAGCTGCTTCTTGACATATCTCACTTGGAGAAACTACAAAGAGGAAAATATGGCAAAAGCTTTCAACGTCACTTTGTCGATGCACTTTGCATAAATAATGAAACGTTGCCCTTCACTCAGTGCGCAAAAACCGAGCGCTTATCACCCCAACTTTAAAATAAATTTGAAAACTACAAGGAACAAAAGCAGCCTTACATTTGCATTTCCTACCAGGGCGGGTGTCACTGGTATCCACAGGCTGAGCTCTTTTTTCAAGTGTGAGTTCAGTCAGCTTTTCACCAGAAGGCCCAAGAGCTGTTCAGGACTTGATGTATAGACCTGCAGCTGTAAAGGGACCCGGCGGACCTCCAGCCATAAAGGATCCAGTGGGCCTTCAACCGCAGTGGGACCTGGCAGACCTCCAGCCACAGTGGGACCCAGCGGACCTCCAGCCGCAGTGGGACCCAGTGGACCTCCAGCCATAATGGGACCCAGCGGACCTCCAGCCATAAAGGGATGTGGCGGACCACCAGCCGTAAGGGGACCCAGTGGATCTCCAGCTGTAAGGGGACCCAGCAGCCCTCCATCCACAATGGGACCTCCAGCCATAATGGGACTGACAATGGGTGCAGCTGGCCCTTGTTTCCCAAGCCTGAAGTAAATATCTGAGCCACACAGGTCTAATGAGATGTGGGAATCCTCAGTTCAGAAATGACCTTGAACTCAGATACTTGACCAGAGGATGACGGGGGCAGAACTGGGTGTGTTGTGCTTTCTAAGCTGTTATGGGTCTGATCAAGTATGGGGAGGTGATCCTGGATTTGGACATCTCTGTTAGGCCCTGTTGGAACCCAGAGCGCCTGTGAGCCAGAACCGCCTGTGACCTGCCCCTTGTGCAACTGCTGCATCTCATTAACAGGGACACAGAGGAGACTGACTCAGAGCCATCCTTTCATCCCTGCTTCCACAGCAGACGCCGCTGCTTGCACATTTCACAAATGTGGCTGGAGGAGGGAGGCAAGAACCACTCATCACTGGGATTATCTTCTGGGAAGCCCACTTGGATGACTCACAGCCATGACAGCTTGGGGCTCGGAGGGAAGGGAACTCGGGTAACGTGCAGTGGTGTGAATTGCTTTGCACGGTACTTGTCAAACGGCCTCTTTTTGTAAATAACTCTTCTCATTAAAAACATAAGGGAGCTTTGCAACTATGCTGATCTCATTGGCTTTTGATGAAGAAGGAGGAATATATGCTGGACCCTGTGCCTGAAGCCAGAGTCCCAGGGACCCCAAGCCCAGGAAAAGACAGAGCCAAGATTCTGTGTTCTGAAAAGAGCCACATGTGGCTCAGATACCCTCAAAGGAGAGAAGAGCTGAGGTAACCCGTGGTCAGCAAGAGTCAGGAGGCTGAGGCCGTGCCCGTCGTCTTGGCTGAAGACCTAGGGGCGTTGTGGTCAGCAAGAGTCAGGAGGCTGAGGCTGTGCCCATCATCTTGGCTGAAGACCTAGGGGCGTTTTCCCAGGTGGGCAGTCTCCTCCTCACCACTGCAGCTTTGGGGTGCTGGCTCTCTGAGTTCAGGCCAAGGCCAGCTCGCTGTAAGACAATGCGTCCTGCCTGCCTTGGGAAGGAAAACAGACAGGAGAACTTGGGAGGGAGAACATGTTCCCA